TCTTATGTTTACAGAAAAATATACATGACACATGGTCAACACGGAGGTGTTTGTGACTATTGTCCCTTAGGCTTTTAATCGCCAAAACTTTTTATCAGCTCATTTATTAGCAGCCCATGGTGTACCTGTTCTGAGAGCTGCCTCTGCTTATTTGGCTACTTCAAGTGCCGATGCCGATGCTGCTTTCTGTGATGTGCAATTTGCTGATGGAGACAAAACCAACGGCACAAGTCTTGAAAAAATTGAGTCAGCTTTTTTTGGTGTTCTTGAGACATACATGGTTGGCGGGAAGCAATCAACGGATGAAAATACTCGATTGATTTTTTAAATTTATGCAAGACAAAAAAGGCCAAACGCAAAAACTCATAATGGCACGTGTTGCAGAAGGACCTGAAAAAAATCAGCTCAGCGCTAATATGGATTTGACAAAACCTAGAGCAAAAATCGATTCTATAAATTTAGAGCCCGACGAGCGGATTGACATTTATGCAAACTCCGACATGAAGCAGCTGATGAGCATGGGATTAAAAGATGACGAATTCTTTGAGATCCTCGAAAAAATGCAAGCAATTTTGGAGACTTTTGCATCTCATAAAAGCGGATGGTTTTTGCAACACGTCATTCAATTTTGGATGACGTGTTGCAAAATGTTGGATTACAATTTTTTTACGAAAATTTTTTTTTGTCGCCAAAAAGTTTTTTTTTATGCAAAAAATTATGTTTTTATTTTTTGTGGGCAGAAACTTTTTTTGGGCGGGTATTTTTTTTACTTGTTTTTTGGTCGGTGAAAATTCAATTTGTTCCGAAAAACACTTTTGGGCGTAGATTATTTTAAAGCGTTTTTTTGGGTCGGCGCAGTTTTTTTGTAAAAAAAAACATTTGTTTGAGCGGGGAAATCTTTTTGAATATTTTTTTAAAAATTTTTTTGTCTAATTTTTCGTAAATTTTTCTATGACTGATTTTTATGGTCGTGCTAGAAAAATCTTGATTAAATTTTTCTCCTGGAATAAATCTAAGTTTTAACGTCTTTGTTGGCGTTTTATAAGCCTGCTCACTTGATTATTTGCTCAAAATTAGACCAAAAATCATAAATTTCATACTGTCAAAAGTTTATTGTCTTTAGAAACACAGTTGAAAGGGCTTTATCAATGACCTATCACTCGACCCATTCCAATGATAGTTTGTAGTATCTGATTTTGCGGTGAAAAAAACAGAACAAAAAAGAAATTCAAGGAAACATTTGGAGGAGTTTTGTATTCGGGTGTATCTTTGTTTTTTCTTCCGCGCAAAGTCAGGCACTACAAATAAAAATTGGAATTGGTTGAGTTATATATCATATAACGGCAAAAAACAGTTCTGTCAAGTTTCTCTCATTGTCGAGAAAAACAAGTGTGAAGTTTTGGTTTTGGTCTAATTTCTAGCTAATGAGGTCAGCGTTCAGGCTTACTATAGCTTATTTTGGGCCGTGAAAACTTAGTTTTTTTTAGCAAAACATAGCAAATTTTTAAGCACCTGTTGGAAGTCAACGTTTTTTTACACAATGCAAAAAAAATTGTGCAAAAAAACTAGAAAACTTTGTGAAATACTTTTGGTGTTTTTTTTGTAGTCTTTTTCTTTAAAAAATGTTTTCCAAGTGGCTAACAGGACCATGAATGAGGAATATATCTTTTTTTTGTTCAGATCTTTATCACACTACACAGAAAAGCGACACTGTTTTGAAAGAAAAAATTGTGTCTTTCTTAAGACTTTAGTCGAACATTCTGTTTTAATTGCACAGTAACCACCTGTCCTTGTTGATAGTTAGCAACGCTTGAACTTCCATCAAAGCATACCAAATATTTTTCAGAATCGTTTAAGAAAACAAATTTTAATTTTTTGAAAAAAAATTACACCAGAAAAAATTGGCAGAATGGGATCATAAATAACATCTGCTCGATGATTGAGGATGGGATGTCTGAGATTTATCAGCCCTGAAAAATGCGTGGGGTTTACAACAGGCGTTTTTTAAAAGTTTAAAACCTGTTTGATTTGTCATTTTTTTCTCGGTTAAATGCTCTCAGCTAACGCACTAATGCAACTGGTTTAATGAGCTTTAAACAGATCCTTTACGATGCAGAAGAGCAAAATATTTATGAAAATGATACAATTGCGAGAAAAACTGAAAAACAAAAACAGGAAGATTATGAAGCCGAAGTAATTGTATATCGAGCACTTGAAAAATTGAAGGAACCCCTTATAGTGTTTCATAGTTTTGAATACACTCACAAGCAATTTCATATCTGGGACCAAAATCACGATACAAAAATGTGCGGCATTTCTGGGGTAAAACCTAACTGTAAAAACGCGGACGCAGATGAACGCGAGAATGATTTTGTTGTATTCGGACCTGATTACATAGTAAAAACAAAAGTGAAGACTCCATCACTAGCTCAGATCACAAGTGACGACAAAACTAAAGTCAGCAAAACCAATGACAGCAATGTGGAAAACTCTGCCGTTGGTCCCGATAAATTAGGGAGCGAAGCCAAGACTCCATCAGCGCCTCAGGTCACAGCAAGCAAACAAAATGACATCAAAGACAAAAGTCCTGAAGTTGCTCTAACCGACTCAAGAAACAAAATCAAGCATTCATCGCAACCTCGATCATCCACAAAACCTGCGGAAAAAATACATCCAATTTTGGGTGCTATTGAGAAAGCTATTGAAGATTGAAAATTGTTGAGAGAATTTCTGATTTCACAAAATTAGAAACTGGAAAATGTTCCAAAATGCACGTTTTCCGTTTGGTTACTTTCTCAAATTTTGCAACACGTCATTCAATTTTCTGTTAAACTTGAGAAGTTTTCTCAACTCCGTAGATTATCTTATATTGATTTTCCTTTTCGAGTTCGAGAATCCCAGAAACTGATAAACCTTAGAAATCACGAAGATCATAATTGCTTCGAACTTTGCTTCACGTCTGCTTATATCCTGAAGCATGGTACTGACCTGATCTGACTGACCAACAAAAAGCAAACCCAACAGCTGCGCGAACACAACCTGATCTATACACTCCTGAAAGTGAACATAAAGCCCACGGTACCTTTGGTTTGCCCATGAGTTTCGCATCAAATGGAAATTTTGAACAACTCAACGATGTGCGGGTAAATATGTTCCAGTACAAAAAGTGTTCTTGAATAAGCATAGTTTCACATATATAAATTTCATTGCGATATAACGAAAACAAATTTTGAAAGTCCTGTACGAAATCAAAATTGAAGATTTTTACCGCGAGTTTTCCGAAAAAAGAACATTTTGAATGAATTTGACCAGTCAAACAACCTGAAGATTCAAACTCTCTTTGGTCCAAAAAACAACATGGTTGTTTTAAATTTCAAGGACTGGTTTCCAGGGGACATAATAATCGAGTTTATACCTAAATCGTTTTATTCAATTTTGTCCGGAGGTAATCACTCTTATCTGCCTGATTTGTGAGCACGGTTTTTCATTTTATTTTTTTTTTCTAGTGGGCGATTATTGTTTCTCAGCTTTTTTGTGTGCAAACAAATGTCTGATTATAATTTTTTTTCGAAAATTTTTTTTATGCAAAAAATTATGTTTTTATTTTATGTGGGCAGAAACTTTTTTTTTTGGGCGGGTATTTTTTTTTACATATTTTTTGGTCGGTGAAAATTCACTTTGTTCCGAAACAAAAATTTTGGGCGGAGATTATTTTAAAGTATTTTATTTGGTCGGCGCACTTTTTTTGTCAAAAAACATTTGTTTGAGCGGGGAAATCTTTTTGAATATTTTTTTTAAAATTTTTTTGTCTAATTTTTCGGAAGTTTTTCGATGACTGACTTTTATAGTCGTGCTAGAAGAAGCTTGAATAATTTTTTTTCCTGGAAAAAATATAAGTTTTACCGTCTTCGTTTTCGTTTTATAAGCCTGCTCACTTGATTATTTGCTCGAAATTAGACTAAAAATCATAAATTTTATACTGATTTTTTCGACACAGTTTTTTGAAAAATTTTATTGTCTTTAGAAACACGGTTGAAAGGGCTTTATCACTGACCTATCACTCGACCCATTCCAATGATAGTTTGTAGTATCTGATTTTGCGGTGAAAAAAACAGAACAAAAAAGAAATTCAAGGAAAAATTTAGAGCAGTTTTGTATTCGGGTGTATCTTTGTTTTTTCTTCCGCGCAAAGTCAGGCACTACAAATAAAAATTGGAATTGGTTGAGTTATATATCATATAACGGCAAAAAAAAAGTTCTGTCAAGTTTCTCTCATTGTCGAGAAAAACAAGTGTGAAGTTTTGGTTTTCGTCTAATTTCTAGCTAATGAGGTCAGCGTTCAGGCTTACTATAGCTTATTTTGGGCCGTGAAACTTAGTTTTACTCTAGCAAAGTTTTTTTAGCGCCTTTTGGAAGTCAAAGTATTTACACAATTCAAAAAAATTGTGCATAAATACTAGAAAAATTTGTGAAATTTTTTTGGTGTTTTTTTTGTAGTCTTTTTCTTTAAAAAATGTTTTCCAAGTGGCTAATAGGACCATGAATGAGGAAATTGTCTCTTTTTTGTTCAGATCTTTATCACACGACACAGAAAAAACGACACTATTTTGAAAGAAAAAATTGTGTGTTTTTTAAGACTATAGTCGAACATTCTGTTTTAATTGCACAGTAACCACCTGTCCTTGTTGATAGTTAGCAACGCTTGAACTTCCATCAAAGCATACAAAATGTTTTTAAGAATCGTTTAACAAAATAAATTTTACTTTTTTGAAGTAGACCCTAAATACAGTAGAAAAAATTGGCAGAACGGGAACATAAAAAATATCTGCTCAATGACTGAGGGTGGGATGTCTGAGATTTATCAGCCCTGAAAAATGCGTGGGGTTTACAACAGGAGTTTTTTAAGAGTTTAAAACCTGTTTGATTTGTCACTTTATTGTGGGTTAAATGGTCTCAGCTAACGGACTAAAGCAACCGGTTTATTGAGCTTTAAACAGATCCTTCACGATGCAGAAGAGCAAAATAATCATGAGAATGATGCAATTGCGAGAAAAACTGAAAAACAAAAACAGGAAGATTATGAAGCCGAAGTAGTTGTATATCGAGCGCTTGAAAAATTGAAGGAACCCCTTATAGTTTTTCATAGCTTTGAATACACTCACAAGCAGTTTCACATCTGGGACCCAAATCACGATAGAAAAGCGTGCGGCATTTCTGTGGTAAAACCTAACTGTAAAAACGCGGACGCAGATGAAGGCGAGAATGATTTTGTTGTATTCGGACCTGATTACATAGTGATAATAGAAGTGAAGAATCCATCTCTAGCTCAGACCACAAGTGACGACAAAACGAAGGACAGCAAAACCAATGACAGCAATGTGGAAAACTCTGAAGTTGCTCTAAATGATTCAAGAAACAAAATCAAGCATTCATCGCAACCTCGATCATCCACAAAACCTTCGGAAAAAATACATCCAATTTTGGGTGCTATTGAGAAAGCTACTGCACAACTCGAAAGAGGAATGAAAATTGTTGAGAGAATTTCTGATTTCACAAAATTAGAAAATGGAAAATGTTCCAAAATGCACGTTTTCCGTTTGGTTACTTTCCCAAATATTTGCAAAAGTCAAACCGGTATTGCCGAAGAAAACGTCCCAGATAACCTTCATGTCATCTACAAAGATGATTTACAAGAATTTCAGTCATTTTGGGTGAACATAAAGAACGAAGGGATAAATGTTAATGGAAAAAAAACTTTTTCAGGTGACATAACGAAAATACAGAGCGCAGTTTTGCGGTTATTTGCTTCACATAAGGGACAAGCCAACAAAAAGACTCTTAGTTTGAAAGAATGTGTCGTCGAGATTGATCTGAAATTAAGAAATTCAGAAATCACGTTCAGAAGAAAAAACACTCCTCCCAACCCATCCGTGATCAAAACAAGCAGTGAACTCAAAAATGCGCCATTTGTGATGCAAAATATCAATATCTTCGAAACCTGCCTGAAGCTGAACTACATAACAGATGAGCAAAAAAACGCATTTGAAGATGAAAACTACCCGATTTTGATCAGTGGGGCAACTGGGTCCGGAAAGACTATTGTTCTGCTGGCTAAAGCTATTCACATAATTTTGAAGGAACGCGGCACGAAAGTTTTTATTTTGTTTCAAAGTAACTTTAAGCTAGCTACTTATTCGGACATTATCAAACGAGCTGGTATCAGAGTTTACGAATACGAAGCAGGCTTGAACAAGGTTGATGACAGCATCCTCCCAGAGCATGACATCATCATCTGTCATGGATATCCGGCAAATTTTGATGAGCTTGATTTAAAGGCAAAAGCCGTGTCTCCTGAATTGAAGCTGCTTTTCTTCGCAGACGATTGTCAAGATGATGATTGGTTTTGGACCACAGAAGACGGTGGAAAATGGAGTTGCTTGGTGGCGGACTTCACCCAAGAAAGTCAATTATTTCGTCGAGATTTACAACAAAGGCTCGCCAGGTTAAAAGAGACAAGAAACTTCAAAATTCATTGGCTAAGAAGGAGCTACAGGAATACACACAACATAGTTTCACAACTCATTCAGCTCGGTGAGAAAAATGCAAAACATAAACGGCTAGCTGAGACAGAAAGAGATGGACTCCTACCTCAACTCTCGCTCATTCCAAAACATGGACACTTCATACATGGTCCCCAAGTAACTGTTAAGATATACCGGTTACCAGAAGAAGTAACACACAGCGACTATCACTGTTTTGTGGACAAGCTGATTAACAAAGAATACAACCAATATTCCGAAATTTGCCTGGATTCCCAAATCAGCTGCGCCTTTTTATTGAAAAATAGCGCGGTATTTAGTCTTGAGCAGTCGCTAACTTTTTAAGCTAAGTCGTAATTTTTAGAGTAGCCAGAACTGAACAGCAATTCAAACTGATTCTAAGCAAGTCAAAAAAGTATTTCTTTCAAGTTCTGAAAATCTGAGATTTGGTTTGGAAAAAACTCGTTTTTATTTGCGTCAAATAGGGTAACCAGAACAGGATTTTGACACCGCTAAGCTAAAAGAAGCTGCAAAATTGCTAATCGTTTTTCCGCCTATCGACAAATGTTGACTTTTTCAACATGAAGATCTTTTCACCTCTTCGCTCCCTGCGAGACAATCTGGATGAGATTTAGAAAATTGGTATTCACCCATTCCGCCCCCCCCCCTTCACACATTTCGCCCTTCATGAATTCTTAGCACATTTCGCCCCATGCACAACGAACTTCTGTTCTGCTCGGAATTCGCATTAACTATTTTAGCCCTAGTGTACTTGGAATGCAATTCTTGAAAGAATCTTGTAAGATATGGATGCTTAAACAATTTTTTAAGGTAAAAAATGTTAAAAAACTAAAAAAAAACTAAAGTCTTGTACGAATTTGACACGATTATCTCTATATCACGTACAAAATTTAGGGATCTTGTATAAAATAAGCCTTTTGGGCATTTATCTAAGCTCGCAGTTTCCGACTCTTTTTTCAATATTCATATATAAAAAGATCCATATTAGTTTTTCAAAATTGATGTAAAAAACTTTGACCAATTTGGGTTCCAGGCACTCGTGCAATTTTCCTATGGGGCCCACTTAGGGGAAACATTATTCCATTCCACAATCACCGGTGTGCTACTTCGCTGCGTATCGCATTGAGATAAAGAAACTAGAAAAACTCTACTGATCATACCAAAAGCAGCAAAAATTACTGTAGATCTGACTTCTTTAAAATCTGACTTCTTTTTTTTTCAAGAATCTTGTTACAAATAAAAGAAAATATTGCAGTTTCCTGCAAGATTCACGTTTCAAAAACATTGGTGGGTATTCAAATTTGCTAAGACATCAATACTTATTTTAGGAGATTAAGACTACGTTTTTTATCTGTAAAATGGCTCCAAATTGATAAATTTTAGAACAAAAAAAACGGAAAAACAGGAGAGTAGCTTGTCCGAGTTTTCTCGCTTTTTTTGCTGTTACAAATAAATTGTAATGGTTTCGACTTTTTTTAAGTCCTTGTAAGACCTTGTTTTGAAATATTTTTCGGCAACCTTGCAAACTTTTTAAGTTCGGCACTCTTGTACTTCGGCAGTGCACTGAACCAAAAAGGGTCGAACCAAAATAAGTAACACAGCAGAACGATGTCGAACATTTTTTACTCCTATCTGGAAACTCGATTTGTTGTGAGTGACTGCTCAAATAAAATGCAGGGGTCTCAGTTTCAAAAAAATCAAGCAGCATCTGTATTCTCCAGGCTAGGACAAAAGTACCCACTTGCCGTGTTTTCCTGCTGCCAAAGTAACCCAATGCTTTTAGCTATTGGGTCTACCGAGTTTACCGTCTGTCATATTATCTTGATTCTATTTGATCGGAAAGATCTTGACAAGCAATATCTTTACAATGCGATATCAAGAGCACGAGTTCTATGTCGTGTTCACGTAATAGTCGATGACAAACTAAATAGAACAAGCCATAAGAAAAGGTTGAAGCATTTGTTGCGGTTGTTCCAAGGTGCAAGAATTCAAGATGAATATGCATATGTAGCCGAGCTGGTGAAGTTGATGTGCAAGACAACATCAGAAGAACAGCGATGTGCTTGCTTGTCGTCAAACCCATCGTCTTCATCAGCTTCATCAGCATCAATTGAAAACGAAACAATGCTACAAGGTAAAAACAAGGGAAAGTTAGCATTTTGAACAGGGGCGGATAAAGGATTTTCTCGATGGGGGGGGGGCGGAAAATTTTGTCGACTTTTTTTTCTAGGTCGACTAAATTGATTTTCTCAGCTCTACCAAATCACTGTATAGACTATATTTTGACAAAGTTTTCTGCGCCGTAGGCAATTTATCAAAACAGGCCAAAAAAATGTTTTTGGAAACTTTTTTGAAAATTTTGAACAAAAAATTGCGTTTTTTTCGGCGCGCACTTCCCCCAAAATTAAAATATTTTGGCGCCGAAAGCTCCTTGAGAAAAGTTTCAGGGTCAGTCAGCCGAAATTGGATATCTCAAAATAGTACAAAGGGGGGATCCTTTGGGTCGGCAGGGGATCGAATTCTTGAGCAGAGAGGGGCGTTCGTCCAATCTGTTCACTATGGTTATTTTGTTCACATTGCACATTATGTTTCATTGCACTATGACAAACGTTAAATTAGTTTTTTTTTCAAAATCATGGGGGTTGAAAAGAGCCGAAAATGGGAAATTGTTCAAAATAATAGCGGAATCAAATTATAAAAGAACTCAATTCATACATTTAACCAGGGGGTATCTAGGAATTACTCGGGGAGGGGCTTTTCAAAAAATTTTTGAAAAATAATTTTTTTAGGTCGACCAAATTGATTTTTCGAGCGCTTTTGACAAGATTTTTGACAGCCCCTATTTTCTCAAGATTTTTCCCACAGGCAAATTTTTTTAATGTATATTGGCGCCTTAAGAAAAATTTCAAGGTTGGTTGGCCAAAAATGGTTGTAATAAAACTAAAGGCGGGACCCTGAAAAGAAATCCTCCCCCCCCCCCCCCCCCCCCCAATCCACCCCAGCATTTAACCCACTGTTTCAGTTCGGTGGAACACGACTGCAGAGACCATACTGAGAGGATCGAGTGGCAAGAGTGCAAAAGAGACGGCAGAGGAGATGAGAGATACAGTAGTTGATGCATACTATACGAGCGCTATGCTCTTTCACGTCTCTGCTAAAGACAGTGACGTCAGTATGAAGTATAAAGATGGGGTTGGTGAGACAGCAGAGTGGATAAACCAGCCCGAGTCTCCCTACAACATGCGTTTCTACATCGTCCATCGTTCAGACTATAACAACAGAAGAGCTGGAACTGACGAGGAGAGGGAGACTGCGAACCATGTGATAGAGAGTGTGTTGTCTGATATGGAGAATAGAGAGGGTATGACCTCAAAGAAGTTGAGAGATGAGGTCATTACACGACTGGCGAGAAAGAGATTGAAGTGGATGTATATAGCAGTCAGGAGAGGAGATGGACATTGGTCTGGAATGATTATTCCGAGTCGTTATTTGAAAACAGATGGCGCCCACTACTCTATTTTTATCTACCTGCTAAACTGAACAGCACCAAAAACAACTTCAGCCTCTAACTTAGTAAACTATCATACCTGGAATGACAAAAAAATGCTTATCATACAACTTTCATATATGAAAAAAATGCGTATCATACTTTTTCATACAAATTCATAGAGCAAAAGTAAGTGTATGAAAATAGCAAAATGAGCTTTTTTTCTGTACTATGAAATTTTATAACAAGGATTTTTTCATACACTCGATTTAAAATGTGAGCTGTTTCATCAGTCTTTTTATCCCCAAAATTGTATGAAAATAGCATGAAAAGCATTTATTCATACTATGAAATTGTATCATAAGCAATTTTTCCACACTATGAAATTGCATGCAAACATTTTTTCCATAAATGAAAATACAAAACAATTTTGTTTTGAAACTTTGAGTTTCATCCGAAACACAAACCAAGGATTTTTTGTCATTAGAAAACCCAGAGTGCAACTGGCAGTTACCACGCAGATGAACTGCATAAGGTGATATTAGCCATATAAGTTTTTTTAAACATTTTCACATTGAATTATATACCAAAAATGTAACTTTTTGTATATGGCTAGATAATTTTTAGTTTAAAAAATTTGGTTGAGAAAACAAGGCTTGTTTTTTTAAAAATTTTTTAAATCTCAGCAAATGAAACAAAAAATAATAATCGTGCTTACAAAAAAAAATTTTCGTGTTTTTGGATTTTATGGGTGAAAAACTCCTGGAGTACGTTATAAACACAAAAAGCCAAATTTAGCCTGCAAAATTTTTTTTCATGAAAGTTTATATTTGAGCACGAAAATAAATTTGCAACCAAAAAAGGGATTTAAAATTTTTACCTCGAATTTGTCTTCTTGCTTGTGAAAAAATGCATATTATACAATTTTCATTTAAGTATTTTTCCGACCGAAATTAAAATTAGCGTAAGCGGAGAGTTAATCCGCCTTAGAAACCGTTCCAAATTGGTTAAAAGAAGCTTATGTACCATAATTGGTTTGTTACAAGGAGCGAAATCTATCCTTTTGTACTTGGTATGGCGTGTAATAAAATTTTTTTGATTTCGTTTTATTTCATTGAATTTTTTAAATTTATTACTGCTCCATAAACCTTAAAAGGCAGTCGGAACATTCAGGGTTTCGCCCTGATACGAGCAGTCTTGTTATCATTTGACACCAAGAACGTCAGGTTTTCCTCGTTTTTCTGCTCAGAGCTCAACGTTTCTGATATGAAAGTGCTCTGCAAAAATGCGTCAATACGGTCCTCGTCCTGCAGAGGTGAAATAGCAAGTAACCGTGTCTTTGTCGGATTCGAATTTTTGGGTCTGGGCTGTGAAGTTGACATGTCAGACCAGCCCACAATAATGCGATGGCAGATTGACTTTTATGGATTTTTCCACAGAAATGATGATTTTCTCCATCTAAGATTTTAAAATCTGTTTAGAAAGTGGCTTCAGCTTGTAAAATTGCCGAGTGTATTCTATAAAAAAAACGGAAGAGCTTTGACTGATCCCATTTCACCCAGCAGTATACATTTTCCGCTTTCTTACTGACCGCAAAAATGACCAATTTGTGTTGCCGTGACGATTCTCCAGCTTGGTTTGATCAATCGGGTGCTTTTCGTAGATATGACTCATCAAATTGTTGTATCCAAATCGTGTTTTTTGTTTACGGATTTTCCCACAACGATAAATGAGATTATTCTCCATGGTGCAGGCGAAGAAAAATTCTTTGATTTGCTGATTTGTAAACGTTCGCGGCTTTCAGTAACGTAGAAAAAAGTTTCACACCTCGCACTTGCTCTAGCAGAATTAATCTGAATTATCACAACTACAAACGTACCGTAAAAAAATTTCAACATCATTCAATCAGAAGAGACAGCAATAACAGCAGTTAAGTTCAGTTTCACATGCAATGAGAAGATACAGCTATAACGATGACTCAATTTTTACAATAATTGTATTGAAAACAGTATATTGTTTTGAACAATCAATAATTGCTACATTATATTTGAAAGCAATTAATAATTCCATCAATACTATTGACAAAAATGGTTCAGTCACTTATCTATTGCAAACCCCTGAATGTGACAGAAACAAATTTTACAAAAAACCGTAATCTTAATGTTGCGACCCATTCGGATATATATGTTTATTTTGTCAATCCTCGCTTTTAGCTTTTTATACCCTAAAAAGAGTATATAGCATTCAATAATAACCAATCATTTTTCATAACTAACAACTCCTAAATATTATTGAAAGCGTGGCATCTTATAGTCAGACCAACTTAAACCAAATCAATTTTTATTTCCTAAACTTATCGCATTCTTGTAACTCATAAATCTGTTGAGCATAAGAAATCAGAATAACTTCATGATCAGTTGGACACTAGGTAGTTGCACGAACATATCTGGTCGAAAAAACGATAGCGTGACAAACAGACAGCGTACGCTATCTGCTATTACAATCATTTGGTCTACATAACTACATCATCTACATAACTATCTGATCCATTTTCAATTCATTGGTAAATCTTTTTTGAACCCAATTTTTTTTTGTCTGAGAAAACATGTGGATCGATTTTATTGGCAATATTTAGACAACAAAAATTGATTCTAATCTGTTGTTTTCACTTTTCTTAAATACGGGTTGCAACTAACGAGCCTTGAAAAACGTCTTAAACAGTAAAATCAAATTAGATTACAGAAACCAAAGTAAGTTTAACTCTCCATGTTCCAAAATAACTGTCAAAAAAAATAACAACTATTTATTTTTCAAAAAATAGAGCGCAGTACTGATTAGATGTTTTTTTTTTGAATTGTCACCCACTTCAGAAAAAAAAGAAGTGATATTTTACTTCAAACATTACAATTCAAAGTACTACTTGAAAAGGAAAAAAATAGGAAACTTATGACTTCAAATACATACAAAAATTGCCTCCCATCATTTGAAATGCAATGAGATCGAACAAAAAAGATAAAACATAAATCTTGTATTCTCTGTAAATCTCGTAATGATGACCCAGAATATAATCCTTGCAAAATTAAATATCCAGAAAAAATCAAAAGACGATTATTAGATCATTTTAAATCAGTTTTATGTCAACTTCAATAGAAAAAATTACCATGATAATAATCTATCTAAAAAGAGAAGACAAATAGCAGAAATACACAGTTAAGCAGTATGAATACGCAGTACACTAAACTGATTAATGTTTTTCAGACGTGCTCACACAGTAATTAAAAAGCATACAATATACTACAATAACCCATAACAAGACTCCATTTTTAGGGTTGCAGTTTTCAAAACAACCCAAATTAAACCCAGTTATGAAACACGAAGCCTATCTATCCTCCCTACCTTAAAAATCAGTTCATACTGCAATACAAGTTGAAACTCGAATTTGGAATATGCAAGAGTAAGCTTTGAAAGATTTGAATTGAAACGAAAAATTTTATAAAAGAAACATAATATGTTTGAAACCAGCTAGAATCATAACTAGACTAGAATATATAACAGCAATCAGGGGCGGATTTAGGGAGGATAGATTTTCAAGAATTTTTGTAAACAGTCGACCTTTTTTATATCGACCGAATTGAGTTTCCGAGCGGTCCCAGAACACTATAACGACCCTACTTGAAAAAAAATTTTAGCACCGCAGGCAAATATTTTAAAAAAAATAGGTAAGAAAAGCCGTTTTTAGGCACTTTTTTTTGGAAAAGTTTGACAAAAAATTTGCGTTTTTTGGCCTACGCTTCCCCTCAAAATTAGTATATATTGGCGCCAAAGGCTTCCTTAGAAAAACTTTTGGGTCGGTTGGCTAAAAAATGAGGTACCCTTTGAGTCGGCAGGGGGTCGAATCAGGCGCGGATATAGGATTTTCTGGAGGGGGGGGGGCGGGTTTTCAAAAAAATTTTCAAAATTTTGTCGACGTTTTTTTTAGGTCGACCAAACTGATTTTCTGAGCTCTCCCAAACCACTATAAAGACCCTTATTTGACCAAATTTTCTGCGTCGCAGGCACATTTTTGAAAAAAGGCCGAAAAGGCGTTTCTAGGCACTTTTTGGTAAATTTCGACCAAAAAATCGCTTTTTGGCGCGCTATACCCCCCCCCCCCCCCACCTTCAAAGTAGTAAAGATTGGCGCCAAAGGCGCATTTAAAAAAAATATGAAGTCAGTCAGCCAAAAATGGATTTTATCTCAAAATAGTACAAAGGGGGACCCTTCGAATCGGCAGGGGGTCGAATCCCTGAAAAGGATGGGCTTCCAACCCCCCCCCCCCTAAATCCGCTACTGGGTAGCATCCCCGAGGAGGGATTCGACCCTACGCCGACTGAAAGGGTACCACCTTTGGTACTTTTTAAGAACTCCATTTTTGGCCGACCGACTCTAAAACTTTTCTAAGGGAGCCTTTGGCGCCAATATATACTAATTTTGAGGGGAAGCGCGCGCTAAAAAAACGCAATTTTTTTGTCAAATTTTTCAAAAAAGGGCCTAAAAACGGCTTTTTTACCTGTTTTTTTTAATAGTGTTCTGGGACCGCCCCTGACAGCAATAAGACTAATATCAACTAAAAAAAACATGCTTTGATTTCTCAAAAACTCATCGGGCACTAAATTTGCTGAAAAATAATCACATTAATAATCAACACAAAGTCAAATATATAGAACTTTGCTATTTGAAACGTGAACACAAAACTCTAAAAATCTAACAGAAAATCGAACCAAATAAATTTTCAAAACCGATCTTGAACTGTTGAACAAAACGTTGTTACAGAAAAATATTCTAGACTATAACAAGACTGCCCGTATCAGGGCGAAGCACTGAATGTTCCGACTGCCTTTTAAGGTTTATGGAGCAGCAGTAATAACATAAAAAAAATAAATGAAAAAAAAAATAAAATGAAAATTTTTTTTTCTAAAATTTGAAATTTTTTTAATGAAAATCATCCCCCCACACGCCATATAAAGTACAAAAAGAGAGATTTCTTTCCTTGTAACAAATCAATTATGGCAAATAAGCTTCGTTCAACTAATTTGGAACGATTTATAAGACGGATTAAATCTCCGCTTACGCGTTAATAGCGCGAATTATATCGCGCGTTAATTGCC